GGAGGGTCCTGCTGCCTTTGCGAACAGGAAGCTGCTTTCGCTCACTCCTCGGCAGGCTTGTCGAGCCCTGCTTGGTTGGTGCTGAGTCTTGTTATTGTGGAAGGCTTTTCCTGCAGAAACTCAGGAAGGGATGACGCCCAAGGGCAGATCCAGGCCAGGGGGCCAGGACTGTGTTAGGAGCGGAGACCCGGTGTCTTTTAAGCTGTCAGCGCGGGGTGTTTGCGTTCTCCGCGGTTCTCTCCTGACTGAGCCGCCCATTTAGTTCACCGACTGTGAACCCGGCGCTGCCCTGAAATCAGTGTTAGAGCCGGAGCCCAGTTGTGCCTCGTTCTACCTATTTTGGGGAATTGCATTTGGACTTTGTACCGAAAGGATAAATGCTACTGAGAAAAATTATTTTTATCTCTAGGCCACAAAATTAGGTTAGTGAAAAATAAAAAGGAAACGAGAGCTGAAATATGTAGAAGAAGCAGCTCTGTAGTGTGTGCACTCACCTACAGAGTGCTTGCCCTTTGCAATAGGATTACATAAATTGCATTTTACTGAGTGGATGAACTGCTTTTGCTTTTGTGTTACTTAACACCGTGTAATGGGTCATTGGTGAACTTTTTGGTATTGTAAAATAATTCTAACATTTTATAGGCAATTTAGACGTACAGTAAAAACAGTGATAAATCATTTATCTTCTACATTTTGTCCTTTCCAGTTTTTTTACTTGACCTGGCTGTCTGTAAAGGATTTGTAGAAGATCTAAATGAATCGTGAGTATACATATATGTGTAAAATACTATTTAGTGCTATTTAATATCATCTAACTCTGATGCCATCCAAATATCTGCACAGGAATCTTAAGTTTTGAATAATAGGTGCAGTGCTGACTGATGTTACTATATTGCCAAAGTGCCATGCACATGCAAAATGGAGGAATACACCAGAGAATTTTGCTAAAATAGTTGGAAGGTGAAAATCCAGCAGATGTTTCTATAGTCTTTTGGTTTAATCATACCGAGTGAGTGCTGGAATTCAGTGTCTAATCTGCAGTATAGCAGGTTTATTCACAAGAGATTGCTCACAGTAGGTTAGAAGTCTAACTCTTTCACAAAATTCAATCTTTGTGCCTTGACTGCAGGGGATAACAATCTTTTCTCCTGCAGGCCACATGGGTGCCTTTCCCACACCAGATTTTGTATGCAACCATTCTCTGGAGGGACTTGTAGTTACTGACTCAGGCCTCCCATGCCAACCAAGCTCATAAATATACCAGCACTACTAGCCTATTTGTTGAGTAATTATTGGCGACTTCACCTTTTTCATAGACTTCACTACTGAAATGTTCTTACTAAGGTCTTTCACTTAGTCACTTTTCCACTTACAGAGAGGCAGAAGTTTTTCTTCTGTGCTCCTCATCAGTGAGATGGATTCCCTATCTGCCTGATGTTTATATAGTACTGTTTCATAAAAGAAACAAACAACAACCATCCAAGGAGTTGCCATCCATTTTTTCTCATACCTTTCACTGTTAACAGTAGATGAATTCGGACTTGTTACTTCCAATTTTCTTTGTGTGTGTGTGTGTGTGTGTGTGTGTGTGTGTGTGTGTGTGTGTGTAGGCATTTGTAGTTTGTAGTGTGTGTGCACATGTGTGAGCACAACCTTTGCATGCATGTACAGAGGACAGATGATCATTCTGGCAGTACTGCTTTACTGGTTTATATCTTACTCCTTTGAGACAGGATCTTTCACTGAAGCTGGTGCTGGCCAGTATCTAGCAAGACCTAGAACTCTTCCTGTCTGTGTCCCTATAAACTGTAATTGCAGGTGTGGTGGGTGCTATAATATAAACCCAGGTCCTCTTGCTTGCACAGCAAACTACCTTACTCATTGAACCATTTCTTCAGACAGTTAATTTCAATTTTGTTCCTTGTCCCCATCAACTATCTTGGCTTCTGACTGTGTGATCGAATTGCTGTAGTGAGTCAGTGATTATTTGAATACAGGTACTCCGATGGATTAGGAAGAAGTATGAACATCCCATGGTTCCTAGTCATAGCAATGGGCCTTGAGGATGTATTTTAAGATTGTTTATAGAAAGTGATTTTTGAAGAAAACTCTGATAATCAGAAACTAGCTTTATTTAACTCAGTGGTATCTTGTGGGTATGTCACTATCAGCTACCTTTTCACACTGCTCAAATAATAGTAACTGTGCCTGAGGAGAGGAGAGTTTCACTTCTAGTAATCGTTTTGCTCCCTATGTGGTTGCTTACCTGAAAGATTCTTCCATTGGAGAATGTTAATGGTAGAGTACCTTGCTTGTTGGCTAAATGACAAAACTAAAATGTATCTTGTAGTAATGCCAGCAGCTGTTGCCCCTCAGATCCATAAATTTCAGACATGATCCCAGACTGTGCAGGGAATTCCATTGTGAAAAAGCACCAAAACAGTATGAAAAAAAGGTCTCATTTTTCATATCTCAGTGAAAGCTAAAGATACCTCACAAGGAAATTGCTGAAACTCAAAGTCATACCATTCTCACCAGATGCATGTTGGACCCCTGTGTTGTCTGTAATATTCCTCTGGACCTGACTGCCAGTGATGTGACCCTGAGTTTGCTTAGTCATCCCCATGCTTTGAGCTGTTTTGACCCACTCTGTCTTTCTCATTTGTGCCATAATTGCTTCCTGTTGAGGTTACCTAAGAGCGTTACATCTGATGGTGGCCCCAGAGGTTTGAATTAGCCTGTACTCATTGGGCTCTTTCAGGGGTATACAATTAATATTGTGCTGTGTCACACTAATCCACAGGACCAGGTGAGTATTAAGATGCACAGTTAAAGGACAAGTGTAACTAGCTGATGGCATTTTACAAGTTTATTATAGCTTGGAATATGAATCTCAGACCTTTGATCCCATTACAGCAATTCTGGATTTGCTGCTTTTCACAAAAATTTTGAGAACTGCAAATTCTTTACCAGGAAGTGATGGGACTCCTCCTAAAATCCATGCTCTTAATATGAACAAGGGGTCAATCTTGTAAGCAGAGTTTTCTAATAATAAACTTTGGTCACTACATTAAATTTCTAGTACATATTTAAAATGGAATACAGGAGAGAAGAGCTTGGGAAATACATCATCCCTCGGTACTCATGGAGATTATATTTGCATGTATCTGTACACATCTTCCTGTGAATTTTGACTCATCCCTAGGTTTTTTTGTAGCACCAACTGTATTGTTAATGTAGTAATGACAAGAGAAGTGAAAAATAATACTTGTTCAGAATAGAGAAGCCCCTTGCTCCAAGTGGAATATCAAATAAAGGAAGCATACTACATTTGTGGTTTCCCCCAAATATTTTCCTTTCTTTTGTTGGACTTTTAAAATTCTTATATTTTTGGTTGTGAGCCTAGCCTTTAACGACTGAGCTATCCCTCCCAGCCTGGACTTTTTAAAGTCTTTGGATGGTTTTTAATTTTAATTCTCAAAGTGTTTACTGGATAGGAAAAGATTTAATAGTTACTGAGTAAACATTTTATATGAAACTTTTATACAGAGAATTTGTTCTGTGTTCTTGTATTGATCAATTCAGTATTCTTAAGTTGTACATTTGTAAATTGTAGTTATGGTAATATACTGTCATTTGGGATATTGTTTGTGAACGTAAATATAAAAACAGGTTTATTTTTCCTTTTGTGTTTAGATTTAAAGATAATCGAAAAGATGACATTTGGCTTGTTGATGTGAGTATGTAAATTTAAGTGTCGTTTTTTAGTCTTGTCTATGCAAGGAGACTGATTTGTTTTTTCAGATATTGCTACTTTTATTTCCCTTGCATGTGTGTGCGTGTGGTGTGTGTGCATGTATGTGTGCATATTTCCAAGTGTGCATTCACTTCCGTGTGCCAGTGTACATGGTGTACACTATGCCTGTGAAGGCTGGAGGATGACATTGTGTCTTCTTCAATTGCTCAACACCTTATATAATCTGAGGCAGGCTCTCTCACTGATCCCAGTTGGAACTCAAAATTTTCTCTTTTGGTTAGGTGTCTTGCTCTGGGGAGTCCCTGTCTCTTCCTCCTGTGAAATAAGAGATATAATCTTTGTTGCATGTACCCACCTGGGCTGTACTTGTGTTTTGGTGATCCAAATTCTGGTCCTTAGAAATGCATGGCAAGCTTGTTACCCTCCCAGCTATCTTCCTACCCTTATTTAGATTTTTTAGATTTAAATGACCCTGAGAACTTTCATGCTTCTGGCAAAGGAATTTATTTTGATGAAATGCTAGGAATAGGGTCACTCTGGGAGGAAGCTGGGACTATTTCTTATAATGAAGTTGTGGATTGTATCTTGAGATTATGTTATGATTTCAGTATAGACTTCACTCTTATTTTTTTAGAGATTGAGTTATATTAATATACAATAAAATAAAACATACTTTCATCCCAATACTGAGCAAAATTAAATTTGGGGATGTGCTTTAACATGTATCAGAAAAAAAAAGTCACCCCACAAAATGGAACAAGAGAGCAGAGTTGGTGACTGTCGAGAGTAGAAAATAGTACCTGAGAATCTTCTGCTTAATTCTTTCTCCTTCTGTTTATGTTTTAACATTTCCATGGAATCACATTTAAAAATAAGTCTCATTTCATGAAAACACATAAATATTGTGTTAATACATAGAGTGCCTAATTAAACTCTGATGATTCTGAAATGTGACTTGTCCCTATGTCAAATCTCTCAGTGATCACCCAAAATCCTGCCAATGAAAACTCAACAAATGTACCTACCTCTGTGTTAAATTTTTGTACTAGGAACAGATGTTTTCCATGAATACAAGTTGCATGTGGTATGGTGCATGCATGTTTATTTAGTTTTTTTTTTCTTATGTAGAACATGGAACATTTGCACAGAATTAAAGACTTTGAATCCATCATGTTTCTATTCTAAATAGGCATCAATAGTTGATTAAAATGAAATTAAAATACTAGTTTTGAGGTATGCCCGAAGAGGTAAGTGATCTAGATTCATGTGTTTCATTTTGTTGTATTGCCACTTAAAAACTATTTTGTCTGAAGTAGGTCAATATTAGATTGCTTAAATAAATCTTTGAATATTATGGTTGAGCTTCATAATGGTACAACATTTTAGAGTGTTATCTTTCTTTTCTTTTTGTGTAGTTTTATGCCCCCTGGTGTGGCCACTGTAAAAAACTGGAACCGATTTGGAATGAAGTTGGACTTGAAATGAAGAGCATTGGCTCTCCAGTTAAAGTAGGAAAGATGGATGCTACTTCCTACTCCAGTAAGCAAGCGCACAGTTACATACTTTGTTGTTCTAATAATGGAAATATTTTTTATGACATTCAGGGTGAGTAGAAGAGATGTTTATCATGTAAAGTTTCTTAGTAAGTTACTTAATCCTAATAAGTATATTCAATTTTAATATACAGTATGGCCAGCAGTATTCCTATTCTTTGTTCTTGTTAAAGTATTAGTTTTGAAAATTTCCTTTCTAGTTTATAAACTCTTTTTAATCTGCATTATTGACATTTTGGACCAGCTATTTCTTTCTGGTCTTTTATTTGTGTGTGTGTGTCTGTGTGTCTGTGTGTCTGTGTCTATCTGTCTGTGCTGTGCATATTGTTTTCCATGTGTTCTTGCAATTTTTAGCACCACCTTATCTCTCACCTCTTCTCTAAATTGAAGAAAACCCCTTTTACATTCCAGTTCTTCTTCCTCTGCCCATATGTAAATTAAAAGCATCTTTACCTACTCAGGAGTCACTATTTGTGCCATTTTCATGTTGGTCATATAGTGACAAAAAATAGGTCATATAGTGACAAAAAATTCTACCTTCCTTTTCAGTTCATGGATAGTTAGCAGAAGGTAAATAAGGTGAAAAGACTGATCTCACATGCCAAAATTGGAGGCCAAGCTAGCCCCAGAATCCAAGGTGACCACAAACAGCTTCTGTGAAAGGATTGATACCGTTTGTATGTGAACAATTTTTCTTTAGTGTTAAAAGAAAAACAAGTCTATCAGACTGAGTTTCTATTTCACTCTTGCCTCCTAATTGATATTTTCACTATGTATGTCTTCATTTAAAAATCCTTTTGCACACTTTCATGAGTCTTTAGAATTTTAATGTATGTATGTAGTGTGTGTGTGTGTGTGTGGCGGGGGAAGTGTAGATCATCAAGGAAAGATCATAAAGCTAGAAGACCATGAGAAGGAAAGAAGATTATAGAAGAGGGAGAACAACAAAGTATAATCCTTATTTTGACATTCACTTTTTATCTTTTCAAAGTATTTTCTGAAGTTCATATGTGAGATTATTAACTAATTAAAGTAAAATTTCATGCTTTTTCTTTCTGAAATTTTAATACTTCAAAGCATTCATTCATTTTTTCCCCCTAAAAATGACTCATGTTAGCTAGTTTTCTCAGTTTAAAAAGAACTTACAAATATTTATTGTTTTTCTTATCAAGGCATTGCTTCAGAATTTGGAGTTCGAGGTTATCCAACAATTAAGCTGTAAGTTGAGTATTGTATGTTTATATGTATATTTTAATAGTTTATTGTTCTTACAATTTATTTATTCTAGTACTTTCTTTGGAGGGTGAAGGTTTAGGTCCAGCCATTGTTTTTAATCCAAGTGTGTGATCAAAGGTGAGACATTACACCTCTATATGTCTTAATATTTTAGTGTGTAGTGTGCAGCTAATTCAATAAATGTGTTCTGAGTGCTTGCTGTGAAGCATGCATTTATAGGATGAGGTCTACATTCAGAAATCATGAAATTATGAAAGGTCTTCCCTGAAGGAATCCCATTGTGTGTTCTGCTTTGCAACTGCAAATTACGTCTAACAGATTTCTTTCTTGTATAATTAAAGAAGGAAAACTGATGTTAATTTTAATCAATGAGTATTGATCAAGTCTAGTAGAGAATTTAAGTTGAAAAATGGTGTGGTGATTCTAAAGGGAATTGTTTTATAGTGATTTTGCTGCATTTTCGTGCTGTTTTCATTAACCTTACTTTGGCACTATTAGGAGCTAAGCAGAGTTTTCAAAGTTATTATTTTTAAATAAGCTAGCCCCCCTCCCCCCACCATCTTAAAACCCTGGAGTTTACAGTGTTGAGTAAATACATTACTCTGGGGTTTTGTATTGACGTTTTTCCTGTGTTTTTGAAAATGTTACATTTCTAGTGCAGTCTGGATTAATGATCCTTTCTCTTTGTTTTTAGGACTTCTGTTTTTGCTTATTGTTTTTATGTGTACAGTTGATTCGATGTAAATTTATTCATTAACAGATTTCTTAGAAGATAATCTGTGTTTTAGGAAAGCTATTTTTATGTCTGGTTCATGGTGCATACTGGAGGGTTTATCAAGTAACTTGTATTATATTGCTGAAAATGAGCTTTGCCATCACCAAAATACTCTAGTTTCTAGTCCTTTTATTTACCACTTCATGGAAAGTCTAATTAAAAGTACTCTGATTTAAGCCCTCGAATGGGAATGTGCAAATTACTGTTTTTAGACAGTACATAGTAAAACTCTACACCATAGTATAAATCGAATTCCTGAGTGGAGTATAGCTTTTCTTACTCATCTGAAGGTGCTGTTCCTCAGAAGACAGTTACTCTGTTTTATAGTAAAGTTTCTCCTTATTTAGTGTTTTATGCATTTTAAGCTTGTATTTCATTAAAGGAGGATTGAGATTAAATATGAAGGCAGTTAATTTCCAGTTCTTATCTTTTATTTCTAAGATTAAAGGGGGACTTGGCATATAATTACAGAGGACCTCGGACTAAAGATGATATAATTGAGTTTGCTCACAGAGTGTCTGGGTAAGTTGAAAGAACCTTTAATATATGGTTTTAATATTTGAAAGAAAATATATCATAATAGACCACATTAGACATACATATTTTAGATATTAAATGTGTTGTATGCATTTATGAAAAACATAAGGTTTGTAGCATATGCAGTGCAATTCTGTAAAGACATATTTGTAATATATGTTAATTTTGTATTTAAGGACATTTTATGTCTAGAAGAATCTTTTTTTCCTCCAGTGAATTTGCAAATTCTTTCTTATGTAACAGTCTTTCCTATTTATAAAGGACATCCTAAGATTCCCACCTCCCCACCTCAACCCCCCACCCAGCAATGCTGAAACTATGGTTAGTACCAGATCATATAAATGTGCTCTATTTCTTTCTCAAAATGTCTTGTACTTTTAGCTTTTCCCTTAAAAGAAACACTTGATTTCCTTTCTTTAGTATCTAGATTTCTGGTATCACTAATTTCTTTACTTTGGGTCCATTGTTAAACAAAGTAAGGATTACTTTCACTTAATTCTTGGATTTCCTTCATAAGTCAGTCTGGTAACTCATAGGGCTAATGGACAGGTTGTGTGTACAACATACATACACTGATCAAAGTGATGATTCACTGGCTTTCTAAGTACACTTAAGGGATAATACTGTAAAGTAGGGTTTCATATTATTCAGTGTATAGTTTAACGAACTGTATCCTGTGAAAGTTCTATTTTTTATTATCTGACAATAATTGTTATGGGTAATTGGAAACATGGGGAATGAAATTAGGAGGGTTTCTCTAGCAATTTTGTGAATCTTAACTTTTAAAAATATTTTTCTTATATTTCTTGCTCTCTAATTTCAGAGTCTTAAGAAAAGCCCAGAATATTCTTGTTCTGATAGACTTGGGATTCCATTACTAGTTTGTGGTTCTGAAAATATTTTTATTTATTTATTTAATTTAGAAGCAATCTTATTTACCTATTCCCTCTCCCTCCCATCCTTCAATGACCCCCACGGGTCCCCCATACCACCCCCTATCCACTCCCCAGGGAAGGTGAAGCCTTCCATGGGGTATCATCAAAGTCTGTCACATCATTGGGGGGAGGGTCTACGTCCTCTTTCATGTATTTGGGCTGACAGAGTATCCCTCCATGGGAAATGGTCTCCCAAAGTCCTTTAGTACACTAGGGAATAAATACTGATTCCACTGTCAGAGGTCCCCATAGACTGCTCTGGCCTCCTAGCTGGCACCCACATTCAGAGGGCTTGGTTCAGTCCAATGCTGGTTGGTTCCCCAGCTTTATGACTGGGGTCCCTGTGTTCTCACTTGGTCAGGTCAGTTGATTCTGTGGGTTTCTACAGCATGGTCTTGACCCCTTTGCTCATCCCTCCTCCCACTCTACAACTGGATTCCAGGAGTATGGCTCAGTTCATCCAATAGCAGACACCACAGCTGAAAATATTTTTTAGATGCACCTAAATTAATTTTCTTTACCGTCAGATTTTTTTTTTATTTTTATGCCGTCTGCAAAGTAATCTGTCAGTATTTGGTTAGCAGATGACAGAGTTAAAACCCAGTGAGCCATTTGCATTGAGTGACAGTTCTTTGACTTATTTATGGTCGGGAAGTAGATCCTTTCACAAGCAATTCATACTTATTTTAAATAAAGTCTGTTTTGCTAAGGTGTAGAGAATATCAGTGTTTATAATTATATTTGTAGTATGTTTGTGTGTATCTCTTTTGAAGTTTATTTGTTAAGTTCTAATAATCTATATTGGCTTTAAAGTTCTAGGCACCTCTATATTGGTAATTATGAATAGCTGTAAGTTAAAACAGGATAGTTTTTTGTGTAAAATGATGCCTCAAAATATTTGTGTAAATGCATAGAATTAGGAATAATTGTGGTTAAAGTTTCTGATGCTTATATGTGTAATTTCCATTGGATTTTCTCATTGTGTTTGGCAGTTCTAATTTCATTTTTCTTTAACCCTAATAAGGAATTCTCCTGATGTGAGGGTGCCTTTGGAGTAGGGGAGATTTCATGACTCCGTTCTAGAGTTGCATCACTTACTGGTTAATTATGAAGGATTGAAGCAGAGGCTAGGGAGAGTGATGCAATGACCTAAAGAACTGTGTTTTGAAAGTGTTTACCTTTGCAAAATAGGTTATGCTTAATTTGTAGGTTTTGAGTACTGAAAGAATGATAATCTACACCATATTTAAAAGAAGAAAGCATTCATTTGATTTCTTAATTGTGTTTTATAAGTGATATGTTTTATAATAACCTTTAGTATAATTGATTTGTTCATTTTTGAAAAATGAGTATAATAAAATTCATAGAATTGTTTTCTTTTTGTCCTAGTTTAAAAATTGCTTCATTTTATTTTTCTGAAAATAAATAATAATATAAATTGGAAATTTGGGGTTTTGACCTGTAGGGTATTTAAGAATTATGTAACATTTAACTTGACTCATTATATAAATACTAACTCTTGTTAACTCCTGGGATACTGTTTCATGATCTGTTTCTGTAAATACGCTTTTGAAAAGAAAATATTTATCAGGTGATTATCTTGCTTTTAGCCAAGGACTGACTGTAAATGGATAGTCATTCTGTATCTCACTAATCAAAAATATTATTGATGTTTTCTGAAGAGATGTATTTGAAACAGGCAGATTTAATTCTGGATACTATACAAAGTATTACTAAGTACTACACAAGCACCATAGGCTGAAATTTTACTTGGGCGGGTTTGGGATATATTTAAGTGCAGATAATACATTGCTAACATGTTAAACATCATCAGCTGTCACATAAGTTAGAATGAACTGTGCACTGTCTTGTTCATACCCATTTGCTTTCTTTTCAAATAGGGCTCTGATTCGGCCACTTCCAAGTCAACAAATGTTCGACCATGTACGGAAGAGGCATCGTGTATTTTTTGTTTATATTGGTGGAGAATCACCCTTGAAAGTATGAAATTATCTTTTTTCTTCCATATAAATAGACATATTGTGGTTTTATTTGGTGTACCGCTATGATTTTACCAAAACTTTAAAGAAAATATTTTAACTTACTTAAGTATTTTTGACAATGAAAATACTTTCTTTAATTTCCTTTTCTAAATTTGCCAGTCTGAAATGGGAGTAAAATATTTGGGTAAATATTGCCTGGCATAGTAATTTTTATGTTTTTTTATTTTAATGCTTTTAAACATTTTAAGTGAAAGATTGGAAATTACAGTGATATGTTACCTTTTAAAAGCAAAACGCTGTGCCTGAGCTTACTTAATGTGTATGTGTATGTCCATACCTTCCTACTATCATCTCCATCTTCATATTCATCATTGTTAATCTGTTAATAACTGGGATTGACTTTGAGTCATCAACTCTCTTTGAAGGGGAAGATGGGAGCACTTGGTTGCTGTGATTGTTTACCTTCATAACAGCTTATTTTGTTTAGTTATATTTTCTCCTTTCTCTAAAAGGTAACATAGTAGGAAATTCTTTTGCTTATAAATAGCTTTGATTGTTAAATGAGAACCAAATTTTGATCTTTGATATTCAAGATATCTTTTCTCTGTTTGTATTATCATAGGAGAAATACATAGATGCTGCTTCAGAATTAATTGTGTATACATACTTCTTTTCTGCCTCAGAAGATGTGGTTCCTGAGGTAATATTTAATATTTGCTTTAGTGACAAAAATTTACTTTTAAGAATTATTATTGGATTTGCGTGTCTGGTTTATTCATAATGTTGTATAAAAAGAGAAATTTTTACTATTATTTTCACACTCTTTATTATTCATGAGCCAGCACATCCATGATCACAGATCATGCATAGAGACTGCAGTCATTACATCAGTGACTCTTTTCTCTGTCTGTGAGAACTCTGGTGAGCAGTGACACACATCAAACTCTGAAGATGCGTGTATGCTTCAAATGCAGTCTTCTCCTAGTCTGTCAAATGCAGTAGTAAATGAATATTACAGAAACAAGTTTCCATCAATGCTAACAAAATAAATGGGCAGTTTGAGAGTTGGGGTATGTAGGGATGGACAACTGTTCTTCCTTTTTGATCCAAAAAATAAAAATAAAAAAATAAAGGCAGGGAGAAAAGAAGGGAGGTCAGTCTGAGTCGAAAATATTTGAACTGAAAACTGCCTGATGTGAAAGAGCCTCATGTAGGTCTGTGAACAGAATGTATCAGAAACAAGTAAGACATGATACAGACACCCAAGACAAGAGCGTAGCTTGCCTATTTGAGAAGCACCACAGTAGCCAGTGCTTCTGTAGTACTGTGAGAGGAGGGTAGAAGCAAGCAGAAAACAGTTCCTGTCTTGTACATATCGTGGTATAATAAGGTTGAAGTTTATTTGAAAATACTAAGAGCACAATGAGTTATCAAGTGTGAAAGCAGGTCCAGAGATAAGCTGACCTTTGAGCTTGAGAGTCAGTAAGAAAGCAGGAGAATATGAACTAACTTACGAGTCTTCACCTAATACAATGCTTCTCAAATTCCCTCATGCTGCAACCCTTTAGTATATTTATTTATATTTAGTTCCTCATGGTGTAGTGACTCCCAACCGTAAACTTACTTTCATTGCTACTTCATAAATGTAATTTTTCTACTGTTATGAATTGTAAATATCGGAAATGCAGGATATCTGAGATGCTACCCCTGTGAAAGGGTCACAGCTTACATGTTGAGAACAACTGCTCTAGTACACATCTAGGTTCTTATATTATAATGGGAATTCTGAAATGATTTCAGTTTGTTGAAGAACTTCTATTTTTGAAAACATAAAACCACTCCACTTTACCTAGTTTGATGATGTTATTTTTCAGAGCAGATCATGTTCATATCCTTAATTTGCCATTTCTCCTTTTTAGATCCAAGTATTCCTGTTTGCATTTTTTAGTCAGAACCATTTTGGTGTTCAGTTGTATGAGTTTTGGTGAATGCAAGTAGCTATGTAACCACTACATCTTTGAAGCTGTTTAATTAGCTGGGCTAATTAAAGGTACAAGCAGGAGCTCAAGGCCAGCCTGGATTACATGAGACTTTGTAATTAAAAAACAAACAAAAAATTAAAAAGCTAGACAGCAGACCCAGTACTCTGGCAGTGTGATAGTGAACATCAAGGAATGTAGGAGACAGATGAATGTGGGGCTGGACTATCTGCTGCAAGTTCTTCCAGGAAGGGCAACTCTGTGGTTTGTTTGAAGCAAAGCCTTGTGTATTGAACATCTGTATCACTTCTGTGGACGAGTTACCAAGAACAGGTGTATTTACTCATGTTTGAAAGTTATTTTCATGTTTCATCCTTCATGAGTAATTGCTTAGCCAATTATTTGTCCTCTGATAGTTGTAATTTTACTCCTGAAATAAATACAAGATGGAAGGGTAGGTACTTTTACGTGGTTTTTTATGAATGACAATTGTGTTTAAAAAGCAGTTTCGAAGCTGGGCATTGGTGGCGCACGCCTTTAATCCCAGCACTCGGGAGGCAGAGGCAGGGGGATCTCTGTGAGTTGGAGACCAGCCTGGTCTACAAGAGCTAGTTCCAGGACAGCCTCCAAAGCCACAGAGAAACCCTGTCTCAAAAAACAAAAAACAAACAAACAAAAAAAGCAGTTTCGAGAGTTCTTCTTTCCTAATGTCGTTCATGATTATCCTGTGAGGTAGATGTTGTCATAGGCCTTGGGTGTCTTGAATGAGGCAGCCATCTCCCTAGGTAAAGTTGCATACCGTGTAACTGGTGAGTGGTGGGGATGACATCCTTAGGTATGCTGCTGAAGTGTTGGTCCTACTGTTTTCCTACCCAGAATGCTGTCTGTGGTCTTTTTAGTAGTCTTTGGTTTTTCTCATGTTTTTGGTCAAATAGGGTGCTTCCAGGGAGGTATCTGAAAACATTCAGATAGAAAGTCTGTTGTTGTGTGTTTCCTAGTTTCTTTCTGTAGGAACAAACTTAGTTGTTAGTGTTGAAAGTTAAACTTTTGATGTTTTTCTGCAGTATGTGACACTGAAAGAGATGCCCGCTGTGCTTGTTTTCAAAGATGACACTTACTTTGTTTATGATGGTAAGTTCCAAAGTTTTAATTCCTATAAAGCCTTTCATGATAACAACATTGCTACAAGAAGGTGTTTATAAAAGATTGTATAAATGATGCCAGTGTCATAGTTCCTGGTGGTAGAGTGGTCTTTTTAACTCATCAGTAGTTTTTCTATCATTGTGTATTCATTCTTAATTGCTTCTAGTGTGTGTGTGTGTGTGAAATTATTCACCACTTTAAGAAATAAGATGTATGTGATTTCTATGCATTAAAATATGCAGACTTAATTTAAGAGGCTAGTTAACATTTCACCACATACATATAAAATAAAACATCTTCAGTAGAATGGCATACGATGCCCTAAATCTTTTCCCCCTCTGTTTGAAAACCCTTCCTTGAAGTGAATACTTAATTTCAAATAAATTTTATCTTACTGTCACCCATTTTTCATAAAAAGAATGACATAAAACCCTAATACACTAATATTAAATGAATAACTGTACCTTATGGTAGTCGCTTCGGTTTTATTGTTTCTCTTTTGAAGCATTTCAAAGCAAATTATAAAGGCATTTTGTCACCATATTTCATTATTTTTCTTTTTACAACTGTTGGATATTTTTTTAGGTAACCACTTGGTTGTTGGACCGCTAAAGACAAAGTTTTTTCATTGTTTCAGTAAAAGAGCATATTATTTTGATAATGGTGCTGATAAAACTAAGCATCTTTATTTTTTTTACTGTGTTTAATTGAGTTAACTTTTAATTTCTTGATACATAATTATCACTACTATGCATACAGTTACTATACAGTAGGTGTACTGTGTTACTCTACTTAATGTTGCATTATTATTTTATCCTTTAAGGAATTTATGCAGTGGATAGTATAGCAGATACGTGAATGTCATACATCACTAGAACATTAGATAAGGAGATTTATACAATGAAATAGCAAGTCAGTTCATAGGCTCATTCATTCAGGGGTTAGTTATTTAATGTTTGCAGTTATCACCAAAAAACAGTCAAATGTCTGCTGTCAAACTCGAGAGGACCTTGCATACAGAGAAGTGTTCAGTATATACTCGGCCATTGTTGCTATTTTATGTATTTTTAAAGTAGAGTATTTCTTTTTTTTCTCCCAAGGTAAAGTGCTTATTAGCAATATTTAAATTCAGCCTTCGCATCTCTTAACTGTAGTCCTGCTAAGAGGTCCTTAACTCAGATAGCTTTCTTTTTTACTATCTGGGGGAAAAAAGTCAAATATTTTTTTTTTCTTTTTTCAGTTAAAACATCTTTATTTTTGCAATCATTCCATACAAAAGCAATAGAAATGCAAATATTGACAAGTTTACAATTGAATACATGAACAGAATATCTGTACACATATCATTTACAGCAATATTACATGGTAAATTAACTGATCATTAAAAAAAAAAAAACTTTCTAAATCCCTCTCTTCTGCCTCAATTCTCAGAGCACACACTATACCTCACACTAGTGCTATTCCAAGTTCCAAATTAACACTATGTAACTTACATAAAGCCCATTAATATAACAGCCTAACATTTTTGTTCAGAGCTCTGTATGAGAGAAAAACTACATTCACATTGATAAAGACCAGAAAATAAGTTTTGCAAAGTCACTGGAGCTGCCTGACTGAGAAGATTTCATCAGTTACCTGTAAAGACAGCTGACTCTAAATTGGTCCCATAAACACATGGTTAAAATCCACTGCCATCCCATCTGAAATGTGGCAACTGAAATCTCAAGTTCTCGTGGAAAACCACAAGTATCCTGTTGTCTAACTTGGGGGGGCAGCGGCGTATATGGCTCAGTCTTCAGATTTAGCTTCGTCTACAATTCAAAACATGTGTAACACTCATCATACATAAAAATAAGTCAAGAAAAACAATTTATCATGAGAAAATAAACTCTTAAAGGAAAAAACATTTCCAAATGCACAGCAGCTCATGCTTAGCCAGCCTTCCAAGATGGCCAGGCAGAGCCAAATATTCCCCAGAGTCGCCACAACTCTGGCTGGCATTAACTCATGGCAGAGAAGGCTCTCAAGGGTTCAGTTAAACAAGCATCCCAATCAAACTCCTCCTCCACTGGGCAGTCTACATGCCTGACTTTGGTGGGTGTGCCAGCATACATGTCAAAGCTACCCTGTGAACTCGTCTGGGACTCAGAGCTGCTTTCTGTGAATTCTGTCTGAGACTCAGAGCTGCTTTCTGTGAATTCTGTCTCCTTTTCCCACGGTCTACAGGTTGTTTGCCTTGCAAATCACATCCTTCAGCAGGAGGATCCCAAAAATGCAGAGCCACCTTCCAGAGTTTGATCTGTTGATCCCGTGACGACGACTGTACTTGTTAAATTTGTTGGGAGTCCTGGGATGGATTCCAGGTGGTTACAGGTGTCTGGGGACCTCCTTAATTTTTGGATCATAGGCAATAGTGTTCTTCCCATAGTTGATCTGCTCTGTCTTCTCCTCGAGACGCTTTCATCCTTCTCCACGTCAGCGGGCACTGAGGACAGAGGCTCCTTTGAATCAGAACTTCCTGATGACGATCTTCTCTCTTCCAAAGCCATTTATGATAGTTTTCTCTTGTATCTTGCAATCTTTGTTAACTCTGGTCCTCATTTCATCTTCAGCTGCACTTGCCCAGTCAGAACGTCTAGAATGGGGCTTAGGGCCTTCAGGAGTCGTAAAGCCGTCGACGGACTGCAGTCTGGGGCTGACTTTCCTCGGAGTCCTCGGGCTTCCGGTCCTTTCAGTCCGCTCTGCGCTTCCGTCCGAGGCTCCATCTCACAGGGGACCCGGGTTTTCGCCGTGGTCGTGGTGGCTCCCATATCGGGGTGGCTTCTAGGTCTGCAGGCCATGGCGGCAAAGGGTTGAAGGTTGGCTCAGCAGCAGTAACCTCACCTGGAGACAGGGCTGACGAGGTCGCCATGTATTTGTTTAGGTTTTATATATTCTTTGCACCTACCTGGGAAAGTTCCTTTCCTTTTCTCCTGCTTCCTGCTTCAGATGTCTTTTGTGCTTGAGACGTAGGTGGTTGGTGAAGTTTCTGCAGGTGTTGTACATGTCCAGCTTTGCAGTCATTTCACAGACAGTATTTTGAACTTGCCTGAAGTCTTCAGGTGGACAGTAGGATCCATAAGGCCTCAGATGTTTACTCGCTACTGATTGTTTGTGAATCTGGAAGCATTAGTATGCTGCAGGGACAGTTTTTTCTGAAGCGTTTTAAGTTTATCATGTGTAGTCTTTAGAAAATTTGCTCTGGGCATGGAATTAAGATCATTGCCCAGTAATCAACTGTAGTCAGAGGTTTCTGTCCCACCCAGTCCTGCAGCCTTTCAGTCCAAAATGAACACACAGAGACTTATATTAATTATAAACTGTTTGGCTGATGGCTCAGGCTTCTTATTAGCTAGCTCTCTCTTAATGATTAACCCATTTCTATTAATCTATGTATCTCCATGTGGTCTTGGCTTACTGGAGACTGCACGGGCACCCTATCTTCTTGGTAGCTATGTGGCGTCTTGCTGGCCACTCATTCTCTCCATTCTTCTTCCCAGAATTCTCCTAGTCTGGTAGCCTGTCCTATACTTCCTGCCTGACTGCATCCTGCCTGTACATTGGCCAAAACAGCATTATTCATCAACCAATAAGAGAAACATACTCACAGCATACAGAAGGACATCCCTCCATCAATTGACTTTTTAGGTTCAATTTTCTAATTTCTAAATTCAGCTCCATAAATACATTCAAACTGAAATTTATTCTATCAGTTTGATTGCTTAAAAGTAGTTTATTTAACTATATAGATGACTGGAAAAGCACACCTTTCAGTCAGTGGGTACACTATAGTCAAAAAGCACTGATAGGTTTTTAAAGACCTATACTTTTAATGGTTTCTTCATGACATTATCATGTTTCCAAAAGTATTTCAGAACTCTATGTTTTTTTTGTTTTTCAAGACAGGGTTTCTTTTGGAGCCTATCCTGGCACTCGTTCTGGAGACCAGGCTGGCCTCGAACTCACAGAAATCCACCTGCCTCTGCCTCCCGAGTGCTGGGATTAAAGGCGTGCTCCACCAACGCCGGGCTTCAGAACTCTATTTTTAAGGATGGACTAGTTCCCCTAAATACCATATTTCCTGTCAGTCTATAAAAGGAAGTATTTGATGTTGAAATAAAGCTCATGACCTATGTTTTATGTTTGTGTTTAAGTTGTACATATGAGAAAGAATTATAAACTAAGATAAAATCTAATAAACAGGAGCAAAGAAATTACATTACAAATTACTTGCAATGATAAGAACCAGATTATCATTGTAGGAATATATGTTTTCATTTGATCAGTCTGTAACTATCTTTTTAAGTACATTTTTAAAATGAATATTCAGGGAATAATTTTTTTATCATTTTTTATTTGAATTAGAAACAAGATTGTTTTACATGACAATCCCAGTTCCTTTCTCCCTCCCTTCCTCCCCTACCACTCCCCCAACTAAAACCCTACGTATCACATATCCTTTCTTCTATTCTTCTCAGGGAATAATTTCTGTTTGCATAATAGTTTATGTATTATAAGTTATTTTGAAATTTATAAATGGGGTTTTTCAACATGTTACAAAATATATTCAGTTTTGATTTAGGGCATTTTAATTATTTGTTTTATTTGAATTATTCTTTGCTAATTTTAGTGGTGCTACAGTAAATAATTGCATTGTTCATTAATCTTATTTTCATCTGATTGAATAGAATAAATAACCTAACAACCAGCTTAACATTTTAAAATTATAATAGTGTGTTAGTTACTTTATTCACATTGCTGGATTCAGACAGTACAGTACTCTGGTGTATTTCATTTGTTTTGTTTTAAGAATATGAAGATGGTGATCTGTCCTCATGGATTAGCAGGGAGAGGTTTCAGAACTACCTTACTTTGGATGGCTTTCTTTTGTATGAACTTGGAGACACAGGTAACAAGCATATGGACATTCCTGTTTCATTACAAAAGTTTTCTTTGATTGAATACTTAATTATTGGTTCTTTTAAAGCTGCATTTCCTAATTAAAGTGCACTTGTGTGTACTAGGTCTGCTTTTAAAAATCGAGACATATATCCATACCACAAAGATAAGTATGTATACTTATATATCCATATCGTGGATATATACTTTCATATGAGGATCAGTGTAGCTAAAGAGAGGGTTTTTCTAACAGCTAATGGTAATGAGGAAGACAAGGAGCCTGCATGATTCAGGAATGAGGGGGAAAAAACCCCCAAAATCATGAAGCTTCGAGTTAAAATGAAGCTTTCTTATGGTCTTCTAAGGTCTGCTTTTACTTATGAGTAGGAATCAGTCATTATTTATTTCTTAAGGTCATATAGATAGTGACAAATAAAGCAAGAAAATAAATAGATGTGAACTACACATAAATTGAAAGTTCAGAACTTATAAGACACTTTTTTAGGAGAAAGTGTTATATATACTTAGACAATTTTAAGGGGAATATCTATTTATTGTTACCACAATTTCACGGTCATGTGTTGGAAGTGCAGCTATAGAAAAGAGGCATTTGAAAATTGAATTAACACAGAATAAAAACTAAGCATGCAATGTTTCAAGAGAAGAAATAATCATTATGGATTGATGTTTTCAACGAAAACAACATTGAGGGGCTGGAGAGATGGCTCAGCGGTTAAGAGAACTGGCTGCTCTTCTAGAGGATCTGGGTTCAATTCCTGGCACCCACATGGCAGTTCACAACTCCAGTTCCGGGAGACCTGATACCTTCATACAGACATATATGCAAGCAAAACACCAGTGCACATAAAATAAGAGTAAATAAATTGTTAAAATATATTAAAAAAACAACAGCAGTGAATTGAGATTGTATAGATGTATTATTTAGAGATGTATTATGCAGGGCGGGAGTAGGAAAAGTAGCAAAATAATGTAGAATGATATACTTTGTTTTATACTTAATCCTACATTTGTGTTCCGGCCCTTGTGAAATAATACTCCAGTATACTTAGGTGTATACGTTCCTTTAACTTTCCTCATAACTCTGAAAAACTGTTGCTTTCTTGAAGTTAAGGTTCTTAGCTAGTAAAAAGGCACCTCATCTTTGTTTTCCCAAGGCTTGTTATAGTGCTGAGAATATAATAGCTTCAGCCCACATGAGCACCACCAGACCACCACTGTTGTGTTATTACATCATTCTACCCTCCTGGGCATTCCCAGCAGGCTTAGGAGCAGTGTGTCACTCAATCTGATACTATGCGTCATCACTGGTGAATGGTGATCCATTGTAATTGACAAACTTGCCATGCAGAAGCATCTCCTTCATGTTATAAACTATTGCTTTTTTAGCACCAACAGTTTTTATAAGTTTTTTAAAATCAGTGTTTTTCTTTATGGTATACTTTTTGACAAAATACTGTGCCAGTCTGTGGGTCACATAAAACATTTTAATAGATAAATTACTACAAATTTATTATGATTTATCTCCTAGAGGAAATTTACCATTTGCTGTTGATTAAGTCATCGGTCCAGGCTACTCACAATGTACCATAATATGTTGGCTTAATTTTGTGTAACATGTAAAGGATGGTTGGAATTAAAGTCTAGAAACATATTCTGATAGTTCCTACTTACAGCAGAAGTAATATTTGATTAAGCATATGTAATGTGAATTACATCATTCTCAATTCTAGGAAATGAAAGCTATTATTCTTAATTTCAGGAAAGCTTGTGGCCATTGCAGTTATTGATGAGAAGAACACATCACTTGAACATACCAGGTATAGTTGCTTTGAAAAAGATTTAAGCCTCAAATGTCATCCAGTTTTTGCTTTGCCTGTAGCACTTAGATAAGGTGACAGGTGTTATAATGGGATAATTAAATTAAACTTTGTAACTAAAGAGGTGAAATATTTATTTGTTCTTCTACAGATTAAAGTCAGTTATTCAGGAAGTTGCTAGAGATTTCAGAGACCACTTCCATAGGTATGTGATTGTGTTCTAAAAGGTTGTCTTTGTTTGAAAGGTTGTCTTTGTGTGACTTGGTGTTACAGTGAAATAAATCTAAAACAGTAAGACAAGTTGAATATCCCTAATCTCTAAATTTTAAATCTGAAATCCGAGATGCTCTAAGGTATAAATGCATGGACTCTGATATGACACTCAGTGGAAAACTCTACAACTACTTCATATGATAGTGGTCAGAGCACAAAGTCACTTTTAAAGAATTGTATGAAATTCCTTCAGGATATGTATATAAGGTGTATGTGGGAAAAAATGAATTCTGTACTTAACATTTGGGGTCCTGCCCTAGAAAGTATATTGTTTATGTGTAAATGTTCCAAACCACAAAAACTTTGAGAAATGTGAAGTACTTGTGGCCCCGGGCTTTTCAGAAAAGAGAATCCCTCCCACACTTAGAAAGGGGAATCAAGAATTGCAGAAATGACCTGGAGCTTCAGGTTAGCGTGAGGATAAATCTATGTCACATCTGACAAGTTAGAGAAGCTGTACCCAGTCATTTACAATTTATTCCATTCCTGCTTCCTGATAGGAAAATTTGCCCATAGACTCGCAAATTTGAAACAGTTCAGATGAACAATCATATGTCAGGTAGACGATTATGACAAAACTTCAAATTAACAGAATGTAAAAATTTACTTAGGAATGAGATTTTTTTGCTGTATTCCAGATTTTTATGTTTGTTGCTTCCATTAAACACAGAAATAGAAACTTGCAGGATTCATTATTTTTTTCATATTTCAAATCTACTGAAAGTTCATTGTGCAGTTCTCCTGGTATATGAGACCTCTACTGAGTGACCCTATCTCATGGTAAATTGACTTTCCTTAAATGTATTTTCCTGGGAGCACATTTTCTTTCCCTGCCTTTTAAACATGTATAATGAGGTGAAATGTCTTAAAATTTGTTGCTTCTGCTTATATATTTGTTTATCGTAACACAGTAACACACACATGTTCAATATTGAAAGTTTATGTTCTTACCAAGTTCTCATTTGTGTTGGGTACCTTCTTTTTGGGTTCCTTTTTTTTTTTTTTTTTTTTTTTTTTTTAAATCTAATATTGTGTTCTTGCTCTTCTCTCTGTTGTTGCTGGTGCCTGATAGAGATTTTCAGTTTGGTCATATGGATGGAAATGACTATATAAACACCTTGCTGATGGAGTAAGTAAAGTGTAATGGTTTACTAGCAGTTTTTCCACTCTGGTATTTTAGATTTTGAGAGAAAAGGAAAGACTTAATTATCTGGGAAAAGCATATCAAAAAAACAAAACAAAACAAAACAAAAAAACAAAAAAAAACCTCACAAAAACCCACACCATTTTCTGATGCTGACAGTCTACCATTAAATATTCTAGTTTATAAATCCTTTATTTTGAGTTTATTGAGATTCAATTTTATTGTTTACTGTAGAAGATTATCTCCCACGTCCACATTATAACTTACGGCATTCTCAAATCATTCTACAATATGTGTATTTGTGGGTTTTTATGATACATACTTTAACAATTTTAATAGGTAATCATGGGCTGGTCAGGTTGTTCACTGGGTAGAGGCACTTGCACAAAGGCCTGACAACTTGAATTTGATCGCAGTATACACTGTAGAGATTCCATTCCTGGGTTGTTGGCTGATTTACACATACAATTATGGAAGGTACCTGAAGTATTTGACACTAGTATTTTAGAAATTCATTGACAGATTCATACGTGTGTAGAATAAAATTTAATTATTTTTACCCCATTCTCCCCTCTCTTCTCCACATTTCCTTCTGAAATCCTTCTGCCCAGCAAGTCTCCCTCCTTTTATATCTTCTTTTTGTGTATGACCCAACTGAATTAATGAGAGTTGTTTGCATGAGTGTGTGGTAGGTTGTGGACTGGAGCATTGGCAACATAGATGAAGAAAATGATAACCTCCTGACCTGAAAGCAATTAACTGCCAATAATTGCACAAGAAGGGATAGGACCCCATAGGCCCCTCCCCATTTGTGATGAAATGCTGACAAGCCCATGTTGTTCCCCAAGTGGCACTAAAGTTTTAATACCAAAAATAAAATACAGGGATGGAGAGATGGCTCAGCAATTAAGAGCACTGCCTCCTTTTCCAGAGATCCTGAGTTCAATTCCCAGCAACCACATGGTGCTCACAGTCATCTTTAGTGGGATCCGATGCCCTCTTTTCGAATAAAGTTGTACATGTAGATAGAGCACTCATATACATAAAATAAATTTTAGAAAAAAAATTGTTTATATATTTCCTATTGCCCATAAAACAATTATATTATAGAAGTTGTAAGGTTGATCTTGTATAAACCAAAGAAGGAAGATATTCTGTATAATCTTTTAAAGAAGATATCCTATAATTGAAATTCATATGTATATATCAAATGGACTTTGATAAGACCATTTCTTAAGTTTTTTTTCAGTGAATAGATATGATTTATTAAGAAAAAAATGGCAACATTACACAACAATTTTGTTCCAGTAACTAGCATCATAATTCAGGATGATAGTATCAACAGTAGATAACATTTCTTAATACATAGTTTAATCGGTTGTGAGGTAGTAGAAAATCTGAGCTCAAACTAGAATTCAGAGAGCATAATTAGCTTAAGTTGCTAGGTTTGAAGAGTATATTAGTTCTTTGTCTCTGATAAATCCTTGAAGGAATGATATTAAAAGAGGTAAGATTTATTTTGGCTCTAGTTTATAGGTCTTAATCAATGTTGGTGGGCTCCATTGTTTTCAGTCTAAAGGAGGCAGCGCATCATGGCAGCAAGAGTGTGTGGCTGATACTCCTTGCCTTTGGTGACTAAGACGCAAAAGAAAAGGAGACCAAAAAAGAAAAAAAAAAAAAAAAAAAAAAACCACATTAAGGGCATGTTTCCAGTGACTGGTATATCCAGCTAGGCTTAACTGTTGATGAATTCCCTATCTACCAAGATAATATCACCAGTTGGGGATCAAGCCTTCCACACATGAATCTGCCTAGGCCATTTCATATTCAAGCTATAATATGTGCTTATGTGCTAAGATATGATCTGCTTTGATGAATGTTTAAGTATATTGGAAATTATATATGTCCTCTTGCCGGGTAGAATTACAAGAGACCACAGAGAATTCACAATACTGTACTGTTTATTCAACATGTTTAGTATGTATTTACTCAATTCTACAAGGTACCATATTGAATGTTTAACTTGAATTTTCTCATGTATTATTGGTTTCCTTATTTTATAATAAAAAACTTTACACGTAAGTAGCTAAGTTACTTGACTGACATCCTGTAATGTTGGTAGAAAGCTACAGATTCAAACACAGTGTGACTCCAGAGACTGTCCTCTTCCATGGGGGTTTCTGAGTGGCATCTGAGGTAGGATTAAATTTTATTAGTACTCTGTATAATTCTGTGCAAAAAAAAAAAAAAAAAAAAGGAAAGGTTCTTGTAGATCACAGGGGTAAAGGTATTTAAAATCTCTCTTCTTCCCTAACTGTAGTTACTAAGATGTAAATGAGCATTAGGGTATTTATTATTGCTGTGCTTAATATAAATTGTGATTCTTTTCTTCTTCTTCTTTTTTTTTTAGTGAATTGACAGTCCCCACCATAGTTGTACTGAATACTTCAAATCAACAGTACTTTTTGCTAGATAGACACATTAAGGATGTCAGTGATATGGTCCAGTTTATTAACAGCATTTTGGATGGTTCAGTACCAGTAAGTACTTCATATCCATTTCAGAGGGATGAAGGGGAAGAGGCAGAAGAGAAATTAGCAGATCTTTACCTCTGATCCTGTGAAAAATGGATAGTCATTGCCTGGAAGGATGAGGGAGTCAGATTCCACCCACTGCATTCTTCTTCTGTGACAGAGGCTCATAGGTGCAAATGTCCTTCAGGGAGTTACCTGGAATACCTTTGTTTGTCATGATGATGGGAAAAGTGCTCTTGGCCTCTACTGTTGCATTAGAGATATTAAGAGGTTTGTGATGAGGAGTAATGCTCTTTAGAGAATTTTCATGGCACATAACACCCTTTTTGTTCAGTTGAATTAAGGGCAACTGGATTAAGTTAGCAGAAACAACTATTTTTTAAAAAGATGTGAAAAACACTAGTTTATTAAGCAGTCCACAAACATATTGAGAATCATAGCTCCAACAGGGAGTTCTAAAAATAATGTGAAGGAATTGTCATAACGACTACATGATCTTAATTTTTCTAATTTTCTTTTTTGTTCTCTTTAAATCTTATTGTAGTATTTCTCAAACTAGGTTGCAACTCATTAACAGTTATGAAATCCTGCTCAGGTAGAGATCATCTGTGATAAGCTCATACCTTTATTCAGTGAAAATATCAGGAAGGATCTTTGTTACATCAGTGAAATTTACTGTTTTCTTATATTTTTATTTTAGTTTTACACAAATTTTGAGAAGTCAACATGTATACCTACCTTGGTTTAAAGCCAATAAGTTGGGGAAACTTTCTTAGTCACATAGTAGCAGTATGATATATATTTAAACAGACTCATTTGTGGTAGTGAGAGCCCTTCTGTTTGTGATTTAGTGAGACCCGATCAGACTTTTATAACAGAGATTGCACTGGTCCTGTAGCTTAGGAATTTAAAGAATGGGCCAGATTTCTGGGATGGCTTGATTTCCTCAAGAACTTTGCTGTTTTTCAATACTCCTTGTTGAGCTGTATCTGTGGAAGGGTGTCCCTACTTAGTAGGAAAGTGTTCTGCCACAGTGTGGCTAAGTGGCCCAGAGAAATTCAAAGGTTGTACAAACCTAGGGAGAGTGACTCAGCTTCCAGTAAGACACAAGGATCATGAATAAGGGAACAGTGAGTTTTTAGGGTGTGTTAGCATAAGGTAGGAATGTAGGACATGAGGGGATGTAAACATTTAACATGAATTTGGGGGTGATGTGTGTAATATTTTGTAAGTCAACTTTATGATCTCCAGTTACACGGTTATGTATCATAAAATGGAGTACTAGTATGTGCATAACACTTTATTCTTATTAAATTGAAGGCCCAAGGAGGTGATGGTATGTTGCAGAGATTGAAAAGAATAGTATTTGATGCCAAATCTACAATTGTGGTAAGTTCTGGCAGTTAATTTAGTTACCTGGATAACTGAAAAACTTGGGGTTCTCAGCCACCTCTCTTTCTTTGCACTTGCCTGCCTTTCTTTTGTACTTTATTTCTTTAGATGGCAGACGTAAATTGTAGAATTAAAATGTGACTGATTTTCTAACAATGTCTTTCTTCATTTATTCATCGTAGCTGTCTTGCTAGCTGTTTCATGTCACTTTTCATTTGTTGAGTCTTAGGCCACCATGAAAATGTAACTATCCTTCTTCATTGGTAAGGAGTTCAGACATAGATAATAATTATCTAAGAGATCTTCTTCATGGGTAATGTGAGAAAAAGAAGGGTCTTTATTAAATACTCAGGCTATTTGGTCCCTTTTCCTATTGCCCCTAGCCAGTTCTGCATACATGCATACTCACAGTCAGTTCTGCACACATGCATACTCACAGTCAGTTCTGCACACATGCACACTCACAGCCAGTTCTGCACACATGCACACTCACAGCCAGTTCTGCACATTCACATGCACATGTATGAGCACCGTTTTTATCTTAGAGTCTTTAACATGGTGTGTAATGCTCAGGTATTGACATGTGTTTGTTGAAACTAAGTTGAGTAGTTCAGTAGTTCAGAGTGGAAATCTGTTGTGGCATAAATTTAAATCATGCTTTTTATGTCAGAATTCTGTTCAAGTACAACTGAATCTCTTCCCCACAGTCTATATTCAAAAGTTCCCCACTTATGGGCTGCTTTCTCTTTGGCCTGCCACTTGGTGTCATCAGCATCATGTGCTATGGAATCTACACAGCTGACACAGACGGAGGCTATATAGAAGAGCGATATGAAGTATCCAAAAGCGAAATGGAAAATCAGGAGCAGATAGAAGAGAGCAAAGCGCAGGAGTCCATCAGTGAAGGATCTCTGGTGCCTACTGTGCAAGAGCCCAAGGATGTATTAGAAAAGAAGAAAGACTGAAACTTCACAGGGGAAAAAAATATTTGATAGGATTTCAGATTATTAAAGAGTATTTATTGAATTTAGAGATTTAATCATGATCTATTTACAGAAGAGAACATGTTATTTGTATTTTGCTAATAACAACTGCATGAAATAAAGTAATCCTCCCATAAGTGGGAAGATATTGGAGCAGAGAGACAAGTTTGTCCAAAACAAAGCCAGGTGATTTCATCATTTACCTTGCAGATGCCCATTCTGTGCACACTCCTCTGTGTGCATGTCCTGTGACAAAGTTCAAAACTTGACAGAATATTAACTTGACTATTGCAGTGGAAGATACGTGGTTTTGCAGAGAGAAATAGTACTTTTACCTACTATATCAATTCTCATATTTTGGATAAAATTTATATAAACAAATTAAGTCTTTAAAATTTAGATGTTTTAAGAGAAACTAGTAGCTTTTTCCATGTATAAAATTTAAGATTCTGAGTTTAAAAATAGTGTGGTTTTTATATAGCATAGTGATTTTATTTTACTAGCTGTTTTTAAAGGAGAAATGTTACTTTTTTACTTATATTCAGTTGCATTATTATGATGTTGGCTGTGGTCTCATGAATTGGGACAAGAATCTTATAATTGACCTTTGCAAAATGACCAGGGTATGCAGGGAGTGGTGACGTTGGCCCCTGCCTTGTGCTGCTCAGCGGGGCACACTGGCCATCACTGCAGGAAGGACAGGCCCTCTTAGTACACCTCACTTTCAGCCAAAGCAGCCTAATATTTTGTTCTGTTTTATTTTTATTTTATAGTTTGAAATTACTTCTAAAATTTCTATTAGTTAAGCATGTTTTCAGAAGTAACATAAATCATGTTTTTATGAAATGTAAACTAATAATTTAAAATGTACTCCCACACCTATAGTGTGGGAGGACTTGTCCGTGATAATAAGCTCGTTAAACTTGGATGTCATGAACAAAGGGAGAGATCCAAGTTCCCTTCTCTAGCCTCTCATTGTTGCCTCCATGACAGTCATGACCTCTCATCTTTCATCATAATGCAGTCGTGTCTAAGAGTGGGTATTTTGTGATAACATGTTTACTACACATTAGTTAATTCTGAGGCCTTCATTTTAGCTAATTTCGGAATTTTTATTAGATAGTATTTAGGTGACTGTTTGTTGAGTAGTGTATGGGTTTATTGAAAGGATTTGCTGAGCATTTGCAAATGTGGTTTGCAGTTCTTACACTTATGTTACTTAGGGCTTCTGCTTTGATTACCAGGGGAGCTTCTGGTTTCTGACCCAATATTAATCAGCACTGAACTGAAACTGTGTTTGTTGAGCCAGGGAATTGTTATTCATAGTTTGTGTCCAGGTGTTCTTTTCATAGTTAAAAACATCATATTTAAAACATCCATTTTTAATACTTAACCACCCATCATTAACTTTTTTGATAATGGTATAAATATACAGTCACGGGGAATTTCATAAAATAAAAGAATATTTTCAAATGGAAACTGAAGATAAACACTGTTACTTGTTGCTGTGACAGGCAAACTCCTCCAAAAAATAAAGAAGACTCTTTGGAAAGGTTCATGATAGTTGTCACAATGGTCAAGTTTTTTTGCAGGAGGAAAGACCTGAACTGCATATAGATGACTCCTTTATGATATTTTATGGTAAGGAGAGAGACATGATGAAATAGGAAGTACCACTATCATCACTATCAAATGTTATGTGTATTTTGTCTTATCAATCGTAAGCTGTAAATAAATTCTAAGTAGGCAAAAAGAAAAAGCACGGTAAACAGAAGCGCAGAGGTAGTTTTTTGTATTTTGTTTTCTGTTTTTGTTCATTTGTTTATTTGCAATACTTTCCTTTATGAATCAGTGCTTTGGTTCTCTGTTGTGAAACAACTTTATACTGATCCTCATTCTGTTTGTACTTGTAAAATGTGTTCATTGAGGAAAAAAACCCAAAATCTATAAGTGGTTTGTAAGTGAATGTTTTATTTCTTTTTGTATTAAACTTCTACTTTTTGCTTATTCTTGAGGATATTTTTGTCTGCATTGTCAGGTTGGTCACATAACAAAGTTTAAAGTTTGTTTACTCGTATGCTTTTTAATGTGTTACCATTCTAAATACTGTTTGCTTATTAGGAGAACATTAGAATCGAGGCAGCTCTCTTCATAATCTAGGAAAAGATTGATCCTCTAAGTCAGTGGTAAGTCCCATGGTTAAATACCCACAACAGAATCCTTTCAGGAAATTGGAATTCCACCTTTTCTTTGATGTGTAAAGTTCTGATTTCTGAAATTCAAAAACATAGCTCTTTGGTGCTCAAACAACATTTTAAGAGTATTCTAGAGAATGTGCATACGTAGTCCAGCACCCTCACCATCTCTGTCTGAAATCCTTCTCTGTTGTGTACATCAATATTTTTGTACCTTCTAGTGTTTGAAACTTGTTTGAGATTTATTAGATGTATAGCTTTTGTTTTCTTCCTCACTTTAAAGGACTTCTGGAACCTGGTTTAGAAATGCCAATTGAGTAAAGGTGATGGAAAATGACTCTTGAAGAACTTGAGCAATTGTGTCTGTTGTTTATGTTTAGTCAGTTTTATTGTCCGTGATATTTCTAATATTTTGAGTTGGTAGCTCTTGATTTTAAAATATTTTCATCAGTGTTTACTGATGAAATCGACAGGGGGAGAAATGACTCAGCCATTCTTATGCAGAAATTGTTAAGCCAGTGTGAGATATAATATTTAAGTGGAGGGACTGAGTTTGCCATTTTATTTTTACAAATATATTTTTTTCTGAATGTTTCTGAGTCCCAAGAATGAACAAAATAATCGTAATAATTTTCTAGTTTGGAATTAGCTATAAAGGTTTTTGAAAGTCTCTATTAATACTAACTTGTTGAATTGTGATACTCTGCCTTATGGCATCAATTACAAACCTTTGTTTTTCTAAAATAAAGTAATTAAAAATATGATTGCTTAATTGCTACATTTAATGTGTATTTTTCAGAAGTTTGCCACATGACTAATTCTATAAACAAAATCAAACTACAAGTAATATTTCGTGTAATATTTTCCTTTTCTTGAAATGGTTTATAATTACTGAAACACAATTTTAGATTTTAAGCAGGCTTGGAAATGAATGTAGCTTAATTCCTTATAGACTAAAACCCCAACACCCATTTGTCTAGTGTATTTTGATTTTCATAAAGCCTGTTTTTTTTAAATATTTTTTTCGAAAAGAATACCTCAGTTTTTCTTCCAAAGTTAAAGTTAGAACTGGGTTTGAATTTTGAATTACTAAGTTACAATCCTGGATACAATACTACTATCCTTACCTCTTATTTTTGTTATCAATAAACAGAGAATGTAAAGTCTTTGGGATGGGGTGGTGTACTTTTTGTATTTGAGTTTTAAGTATTTTGACATTGAGTGGAAAACATATTATAAAAACATAAATTTTATGCAAAGTTATTTTTTTAAATTTCTTGCATCAGAGAGATGTGTTTTCATGGGTTAATGGGAACAAGAATAACAAGTGAGCCCAAAATATGAGCTTGCACTGATTTTCAAGTTATGAGCGTCCACAGTCCACTGAGTTATGTGTGAGGAGATGTCATGTGTCGGGTTGGGGGCACCGTCTGTATGAAAGTCTGGTCTCACTTCAGGGCTCTTTTTTTGCTCCAACATTGTGAAGTTAGGAAAGCCAGTTAACCTCTCCCACTTCTGAATTACCTGTAATTTGAGTATAATGTTACCTATCTCTAAATTATGAAAGTTAAATGGACCTGTGGCTGGCATAAGACTATGAAAAGCCTGGCAAGTTCTTTCATATTAAGAGATGGCTGTGAGAATTAAATCACTAGTTTCCACTAAGAGTATTTCCAAAGATAATCCCTGTGGTGTTAAAGCTGAGAGAGTGTCAAGGAGTGATCTCAGCTGTTTGTCATTATAAAATATTAGGAAATGTGAAGAGTAGTTGGGAAGGACCAGGAAAACCAGGAGAAACATTTAAGGCAAGAAACACACAGAAGTACTCACTCAAGAGAGGATCTATGAGCATGGTAATTATGAGAGAAAATGTCTTCTTCCTGCTCAGTTTGTTCTTGAGATTATTTCTGTTATTGTGACTCATACAAAAAGTTTAAAATGTGATCCGGAGCTTAGTGATCATCATGAAAATTTGCAGATAAAAGTAGTGAATGTAAAGAACCTATCAAAACATTCACCTTATTCAGTTTGCAAGAACTCGCAGTATAGATTAACCCTACAAGTGCTATGATAATGCTCTTTCTTGTGGTACCTCTTTTTGAATACCAGAGAACGTATGTGGAGAAAAATCCTATGAATGTAAGGAATGTAGGAAATTGTTCATCTAGTGCGTGAATCTTATCAGGAACCAGCTTATTCACACAAGAGAGAACCCTATGAATATAAAGAATGTGGAAAGTCATTCAGCAGAGGAAATCACAGGAGACAAATTATACACTTCCAGTCAGTGTGGGAAATCCTTTGTTCATAGCTACAGGATGATCAGTAATCAGAGAACTCACACTGGAGAGAAACCCTATGATTGAACTGAATGTGGTTAACTTTTAGATACAGCACTTTTCAGATAGTTTTTTCAGATATAAAAGTCTTACCCTACATTAGAGAACTCAAATTCAAGTGTGGCCCTATGAGTGTACTGAATGTGGGAAGTCCTACAGCCAGAGGTCTCAACTATGTTGTTGTGGACCATAATATTTACACTGGACTGGAGTCTTTTGAGTTTAATGAATGTAGAGAATGTTTGAGTTGTAGCTCTCATCTTTCCTAATATCGGAGAACCCACGCTGGAGAGAAACTATATGAATGCATTGATTGTGGGAAGTTCTTCAGCTAGAGTTCTGCCCTCATTGTACATCAGAAAGTTCATAATGGAGAGAAACCGTATGACTGTTTTCAGTGTGGGAGGGCCTTTATCTGGAAGAATGATCTCAGTGCATTCTTACTGGATAGGAGGCCAGTAAATTAGGCCTATAAGTGTAGCCTCAAAGTAGCATTATCTTCAGCCAGCACTCTCCATTTATGATCTACCTGTTAGCTCAAGCTAGGAACAGTTCCTCACATGTCATCAGTGTGGAGCAGGACTACTAACCAGATAAATCATTGTAGAGAAAGCACTGATTCAATACAGAGCATCTTTCATCTTGAGTTTAATGGCTGAAGAGAAGCTGTGCAAATTGGATCTCATAGAAATGCTTTCACTCTTATTATCACACTGTTGCATTCCATAGATTGAGTCCTGGATGGGGCAAAACACACACTTCATTCCAATATACAAATCAGGTACTGTTCTCTGTAAAATTCCTAGTAAATGCATTATCCTTGGAGCATTCTTGACAAAGCCTTAAATCCAAGAAAGCTTAAAGAAGTTGAGAAATAATCCAGCTTGATTATTCCCTTCAGAAATAAATAAATGAATATGCCACTGTGTTGCTGAGAATGAAAAATAAGCTAATCGTTATTGTACCAAGAGATGTGAAGTAACAGTCCAGCAAGATTATGTCACTAGAAGCTTTATTTCGCTTGTCTTCCAGAGCAGCTAATAGAGCTGTCTTGTTTTCTATGTCTTCCAGAGCAGCTAATAGAGCTGTCTTGTTTTATGTGTCTTCCAGAGCAGCTAATAGAGTTGTCTTGTTTTATATGTCTTCCAGAACAGTTAATAGAGTTTGTCTTGTTTTATATGTCTTGTGTAAACATTTTGGTTGGTAACAAGTACAATATCTATAATGCAAAACAAACATATTTTACACTTCTGTAATCCATTTAAAATACATTTGCAAATGGTCAAGTATTGAGTAGAAAAAATAGGATCAAGATAAAGGAACAAAATTTTATTTGTTAGATGATGGTATTTTTAGTGTGAGATTTTTGTTTCTTTTTTAAATTAATTTTTCATTTAAATTAAAAACAGTCTTATTTTACATACCGATCCCAGTTCCCTCTCCCTCCCGTCCTCCCATTTTCCCCGCCATTTCCCCTTCCCACCCCACATCCATTTCTTAGAGAGGGTGAGGCCTCCCATGAGGGAATCATAAAAGTATGTCAATCATTTGGAGCAGGACCAAGGCCCTCCAAAAAGCCAGTTCTATGTCTGGAGAGATGGCTCAGCGGTTAAGAGCACTGACTGTTCTTCCAGAGGTCTTGAATTCAATTGCCGGTAACCACATGGTGACTCAAAACCACCTTGAATGAGATCTGGTGCCCTCTGCGTGCATGCAGACAAAAGACTTATTAAAAAAAAAAAAAAAGCCAGTTCATGCACTAGGGACAAATACTGGTTCCACGGCCAGTGGCCCCATAGGCTGCCCAAGCCCCTCAACTGACACCCATGTTCAGGGTTTCTGGTTCCGGCTTTTGCAGGCTCCCCAGCTGTCAGTCTGTAGTCTGTGAGCTTCCATTTGCTCAGGTCAGCTGTTTCTGTGGGTTTCCCCAACATGGTCTTGACCCCTTTGCTCATCACTCCTCCCTCTTTACAACTGGATCCCAGGACTGTCTTGGACAGGAGGGGAAAAGGGAATCAGGAAGGATAGAAAAGGAGAGCAAGGGAAGGGATGTCTTAATAGTCTTTGTTTGAGATGGACCACAGCCTGTGAGCCATTGTAGCAAATTCACTTTCTACATACATAGTTGTGTTCCAGTAGAGCACCTTGACTAATACTGCTGGATTTCTGTTTGTTTCTTTTGGGTTTGTTTTTGTCTTGTTTTTGTTTTTCACCTGCATTCTTCCTTGCTCCAACGTATTCAATTTGCCATGAAGACTATACTTTCCACTATTATTCATTAGTCAAGAATTTGACCTGGATTTCATGAATAAAAAGCCTAAAGCAATGGAACCATCATTCAGCCTTCTGGGGGTGGCGCCAGAAAGAGCCATAATCTTGTTAGTGATCTGGTTCCTGCTCTTCTCTTGTGGTTGTCTGAAGTCCATATGACAACCAGGTTAAAAATTATATGCAGTTTACCTGACCTCACTGTGCAGTCCTAGACCAAATATCTTTTGTGTCCTAAATTCTCTCTTTAATTTTTAATATTCTGGTCATCTATCCACCAGTGAGAGAGGGGAATCACTCCACTCCACATTGAGTAAGCAAGCTAGCCACATAGTGCCAGGGCTGTGCAAGCTAGCTAGCCATGTTTGCATTTAACCTGTAAGTTCCATTTATAGGTCAATTTTGTAGATGTTGTAAGAGGCGTCATGTACACTCCACTACTAGCTGTGATGTAGAAGAGTAGAATCTACCTATGTTTAGGAGATAGTAAAGTCTCACAAAGTAGAATTTAGCAGAGGGAGGACTGCCTCTAAAACACCCCAAAGATAAGTATATGCTAACCAGGCCTGTTAGAGATTAGGATGCTAGGACACACATTTGTTCACCAGGATTGTTCAGATGTTTGGCTGCAAATGATTACAAAGGAGCCACCCTGATTTACAACCAGCCTCTAGGCACAAACCTAGAACAACGAAAAGACCTGTAACAAGCTGCTCAAGGAGGCATTGCAGGGTCACACCTAACCTTGAGTCCTGGTGGGCCATAAAGTTCCAGTTTTCTTCTGGAGAAAAGCATAGCTCTGTCGGGTGTGCAATAGGACACCAAGTGACAACTGTTTGTAAAGTAAAACATGGTTGGGTTAAGGACTTCCCTGATCAAGCAAGGCTTTTATTTAGGCCCTCAGGCAGGGAGGAGGAACATTTTTGGGAGAGATAGTAATAGCCTGGGACCTAGACATTGGGAAATTTCTCTAAGGGTCTTACGTATTGACAATAAAACAGAGCTCCTTCTCCAAAACCAGGAATATGCTTGGGAGAGCTGGTATGGTCTGGGGCCCAGGCTTCTTCAGATCCTGAGAGCGCAACTCTTCCCACCACCTGGAGCTATGGTTATTGGTCCCAAGGCCACTATGGGCTTAGTCAGTAATGATCTTGAGAGAACCTGT